TGCCGGGCGTGAGAGGGGGGAGGGGGCGGGGCGGGGCGGGGGCGGGGCGGGGGCGGGGGCGGGGGGTGCGTGCCAAGTCTCTCGGGGCCGGCGGGGAAGAGGGGGGCGCAAGAGGTGCGCAAGAGCGGCGCGAGAAGGGCGAGGAGTGTGGACGAGCGAATACGGCCGGGGTGTGTCGGCCGGGGAGCCTCCGGCGGGCCTGCGGCGCGGGGCGCTGCGCGCGGCAAGCTTGCCGGGATGTGTCGGCCGGGGAGCCTCCGGCGGACGCCTGGCGGCGTGGCGCTGCGCGCCGGCCTCCGCGCATTCGAAAGAGGGCCGACTGCATCTTCGACCGCATCTTCTGCGTATATTTTGCGCCCCTATAGCGCTCACGGAGGAGCAAAGGACGCCCGATTAGCGCTGCGCGCGGCCGGGCAAAAAGTTTTATCGTACAATGGAGAAGTTTACTTCGTAAGGTACCCACTCCCAACATTATTCCGCGACCCCCAACCTAGCTGCCCGGGCCTCCCACCTCACAAAGATTTGGCAAGAGCCACAAAGATTTGGCCGTCCACAAATGAGTGGCCAGGCCTCGTCCTCGACCGCAGCCGCGCCCGGCGCTCCACATCCACGGCCGCAAGGCAGGGCGCCGAAGGAGCACACGTGGGATGGAAGCTACGGGGAGAGCGGTGCCTGGCTGCACAACGTCACCGGGCTGCCCTGGGCCAAGGGCGGGCGATCAGCAGCCTCGATGGCTCAGCAGCGCGAGCGCAAGCGCGAGGACAAGCGCGACAGGAGCGGCAGGCCGGAGGCGTCCGGCGCGCAGAAGCGCAAGAAGGGCGCGGTGGAGGCGGAGCGGCGCGACAGGAACCGGCGGCTGAACGTCATCAACCAGTACCGCACAGCGGCTCGCAAGAAGAAGAAGATCCCACTCGACTCGAGCCAGGTGGCGCGCACTAGGGAGGAGAAGCGGCTTCTGGGCGACAATTTCGTGCACGAGGGCCAACGCGTGCGCGTGATCGAGGGGCTGCACGCTGGCTGCTGC